CGCAGCCTAGAGCACTGTGAGATTGACCGCTGATTCACACTGGAGCAGAGGGACCATGGAATGTCCGACAATTACCTGGACCTCATTATACCCTTAAAATCTCTGCCCAAGGAGGAGCACGAGCTTTATTAACATAACACGGGATACCTGTGTAGGCATGTCTTCTAAATGCACCTGTGCAACATTATGCCCGTCTTTACATGCAATGACAAAGCTCCCCTTTCTGAATATTCATCCTTCTGTTCAAAGAAACCCACTAACTACCGAAGCTAGCTTTGGAAGTTATTCTCCATGGTCTCCTGATTTGCTGCAAATAAAGTTTCCTTTGTGTGACAACTCCACCTAGTGCAGTCTCTCTCTGTAACTCACCAAGGAGAGAACCCTCATTAGTTTGGCTACAGAATGTTCCAAATAGAACATCCAGGTGCAGAGGGCTTAAGATTTGTTTTCAGTTTGGAACCTGAACAAAGGAAAAAGCATTCAGGTGTCCTTTGAAGCCTGGCCTCCACTGGTGCTAAAATAGATTTCACACCCAAGTTTCATTTATATGTTGATGGCAGCTATGTTTCTGCTTTCACACCCCTATCACTGATCAACGCTTGTGATAAAACCCCTCTGTTTGTGGTGGTGTTGGGGCCGGTGAGGAGTATGAAAGGGGCTCAGGTGGCTGCCTCCAGACCAGGCTGTGGGTTGGGTAGACGATGAAACCATCACTTAGAGTTATTCCCCTGCCTGATTCCCAACTCCCTAACGTAGATTCAGAAATTTTAACCCTCTACCTTTGTGTAAAAATCCTTCCTCTGGGAGCACCTGGGTGGCTCAGTGGGTTAAAGTCTCTGCCTTGGGCTCAGGTCATGATTCCAGGGTCCTGGAATCGAGTCCCACATCGGGCTCTCTGCTTGGCGGAGAGCCTGCCTCCTCCTCTCTCTCTCTGCCTGCCTCTCTACTTGTGATCTCTGTCTGTCAAATAAATAAATTTAAAAAAAAAATTCTTCCTCTGAAATTCACGCTCTTCACTGCTGCCTCTGAGATCTGTTTCCTGCCTATGAATCTGATTCAATTGACTATACACCCTTTGTTCTGCACATTTGGGCTACACAGGCATTCTTGTTCTTCTTTTGATCCGTTAGCATGTTTTAGCTTTATGGTTTTGGATCTTGCTGTTCCTGTAAACCTAGAAGGCTCTATTCCCAGAACTTGTTATGACCAGCTCCTTTTCATCATTCAGGTGTCTGGCTCAAAGTTTAGTTTGGAGAGATCTTCTTTGACATGCCTTTCTAAAACAGCACGTTGTGTCCCATTTCCCTGCTTTATTTTCCCTATAGCACTTACTACTATCTGAAATTATTTAACTACTTGATTCTTTTCCCCACTAGAATGTAAGCACTGGGAGTGTTGAGCTATTATGTTTTCATCTCTCTGAACAGCACATAGAACAATGCTTTGCACACATAAAGCGCTCAGTAATTATTGGCAATAAATGATTGAACACATTTTTTTTTTTAACGGAAGGGAGGCTCTAAATTTTAGAGTCTAAAGGTATAGTTGGTGAGCTCAGTTCTTTAGGATGTTAAAGTAGAAATCCAGAAAGAAATCTTTGGGGACTTCCATATCAGAACCGACCAAAGCACATGAGTAAGGATTTCATAAAAAACCTGGAAGGTCTATTATTTGCCATGCCCCTGCTATGTACCAAGCACTGTATTCAGTGGGATAAAATGATGAGCAGAAAGAGTTATGGTCCCAGCCCTTGGGAATTTCCAGCTTAGTCTTTTCTGTGTTCCCTTGGATTTTCAGTAAACAGCAGTATGCTGGATCCTGCTGGAGACATACTGAAGGTATGCTTGCCACCTGCAAAACTCTATTGTTAAATTTTCAAGACTATTTCAAGCCAGTTGTTAAAAATCGTTAAAAATCAAATTATATAAACTTACAAGTAAATTGTATTAAAAACAAAGATAATAGGGACACCTGGGTGGCTCAGTTGGTTAAGCAGCTGCCTTCGGCTCAGGTCATGATCCCAGCGTCCTGGGATCGAGTCCCACATCGGGCTCCTTGCTTGGCGGGGAGCCTGCTTCTCCCTCTGCCTCTGCCTGCCATTCTGTCTGCCTGTGCTCGCTCTCTCTCCCTCTCTCTCTGACAAATAAATAAAATTAAAAAAAAAAAACAAAGATAATATACATTCGAAACTTGTCATTGCCTAATTATTTTATAAATCTAGTGTTATTATTTGTGCTCTTAAGGTTATTTATGTTGATCATATCTGTACAGTGGAAATACTATATGAGGAGCGCCTTTCCCCAACTCCATGATCAGTGACATCACAATGGTAGCTTGGGAGTATATACACCTGGAAACTGGCAAACACCATCATCAGGGCTTCCCTATTCACTGGGCTCCCCCGCCCCACTCCCCACACACATACACACTGCCAGCAACCTGTCAAGGATAGAGTGTCTGTTGGCAGCCACTGAATTAGAGAGAATATTTAGGTCCTCCAATAAAGGAAGAAGAAAAGCAGAGCAACTTGTTTTGGATCTGAGGAAGGGTCCTCCACTTACGCTATAACAAAGTACAAGTTGTAAATTTTTTTTAAAGATTTTATTTATTTATTTGGCAGAGAGAGATCACAAGTAGGCAGAGAGGCAGGCAGAGAGAGAGAGAGGAGGCACCAGGCTCCCTGCCAAGCAGAGAGTCCAATGCGGGACTCGATCCCAGGACCCTGAGATCATGACCTGAGCCGAACGAAGGCAGAGGCTTAACCCACTGAGCCACCAAGTTGTACATTTCTAAAACAACTTGTTCTTCTATGACTTTTATAACTTTAGAATATTATCTTTAATAGCTTATTTAAAAAATAAATGCCTATTTTGAAAACAAAAGCAGACCACATTTTTCAGGGTCTAAAAATGAATTATAAAATGTTTCGTACGTATGGAAGCAATAATTAGACTTTTAAAAGACAATAGTAATATAACAATCTACTGCCCACCCCCACCCCCCGGACCATAATAATGTGGAACTGATAATTCACCTCTGACTAAACTATAGATAATGGAAAACCACTGAAATGATGTGCAGGATTAATGTAGTACATTAGAAAGGTCAATCTGGGGGCACCTGGGTGACTCAGTGGGTTGAAGCCTCTGCCTTCAGCTCAGGTCATGATCCCAGGGTGCTGGGATCCAGCCCCGCATTGGGCTCTTTGCTCAGCAGGGAGCCTGCTTCCCTTCCTCTCTCTCTGCCTGCCTCTCTGCCTACTTGTGATCTCTGTCTGTTAAATAAATAAATTTAAAAAAAAAAAAAAAAAGGTCAATCTGGTGACCCAAAGTAGGTACTCCAGAAACCAGTTTTGCTGGAGTCCAGGAGAGCCCGAATCAATTTGAGAAAATACAGTCAAGGGGGAAAAATTAGATGTGGTGATGGATAGGAAAAAGGAACCAAGATAATTCCAAGGATCTGAAACAAGTGTGACAGCATCAGTGACTGAATCCCTGACCACACCCCTACTGCTCCCCACAGCTTCCGACCCTGGAGAGATTGTCAAAATTTAGGTTGCTGGTACTCCACCGCAGAGTTACTGAGAGTCAGTAAATTTGGGGGAAGAGCCCATATTCCATTTGACAAGTATGTAAAGTCTGATGCTGCTGGTGCGAGGATCACACTTTTAGAACTACTGCTTTACAGTAATGGTTTGCTTATTTTGCTAAAGCTTCAGGCATGTCTTTGTTAAACCAGCAGGGGGAGACAGGTATAAAATTTATCCTCTAGAAATAAACTACCTTATAATACTAAAGCTCCTTGGAGTTATGATGTTGCCATGGAGATTTCTGAACTGTTTTGGAGAGCAGCATGTAAGTTGGCATCAGGTGAGATAATTTTCTGTTGTTTAGGTAAAAATGTATTTTGATAGGACTAATGTCCAAATTTCTGCAAGCCCGCCCTTGGTAAGAACTTGGTTGGAAGAACTTGGAGTCACACAACTCTGTCACAAGCTGTATGACTTGGGGTAAGTTATCTTCTCTGATCTTGTTTCCTCCTCTTTAAAATAGTCCCGATTTATGGAATTGTTAGAGGCCTAAACGTTCTTGGAACTTAAGTTGGCTATAATTATTAAAATATTATTATTACGACTCTAGTTGTTTTCAGTTCTATAGCCTCCCCAAATTTTAGGAACAGTCCAGATACACTGCTTAGTTTTTTAGTAATAGTGCTCCCGTTATTCAGGTGAAGAATTGGAAACACCTGGAAAGTGATTGTTTGTAAAAGCCTAATCTCCCCAACCAAAATACCTAGAATAGGTGAGTTTTATTTTTTATTTTTTATTTTTTTACAACCCCGAATAGGTGAGTTTTTATTAACGTTCCCGGCCCAGAGAGCTCTCTCTGTATTTGATCTCCTAGCCTTCAAAGCCCAAAGATGGGTAAGTGTGTTTTTTTGGACCCAGAGCTGAGATGGAACAGAGCAGATGGATGCTGGCTTCATCTTGGCAGAGCACTCAAGCGGGGTCAGACTAGCCCAGATCCAGCCCCGGCAGCCCTTCCCTAGAGTTGGCACCTGCCGGGCATGCATTTGTGTGAAGAGTCGCGATCTGCGTGTTGCGAGTTGGTTCCCCTGTTCCGCGGAATTCGCTAACTTCGCGGGGGCCGGCCGCTTCCCGCGGAGGGACATACCTGTCCGTGATCGCGCTCTTATTGGCCCGACACTGACACTAGCCCTGTGGCGTTGGCGGCAGGGTCTCCTGCGGGGAGGAAGAGTCCGGACTGGGGCGGGGTGACGTCAGCGAAGGCGTGTCCAGGCCGGGAGCAGTGGGCGGGGTCTACGGGAAGGTGTGTCGGGGGCTGGTGGGGGGCGGGGCCGGTCGGCGGTGACGTCACAGGGCGGGGCGGTGCAGGGGGCGCCCGTGTAGGTGAAGCGCGGCGCCCGGCGGCAGCGCTCAGTTAAGGCGGCGAGCCGCACGGAGTAGCCTTTCTCTCAGCTTCACTCCTGTGCTGCCAGTCATGTCCCTGAGAAGCAGCCTGTCGCGTCTCCTCCGGACGCGAGTGCATTCCATCCTGAAGAAGTCCGTTCACTCGGTGGCTGTGATCGGAGCCCCGTTTTCACAGGGACAGGTGAGAACCGGGACCTGGCACCGAGGGGCAGAACCAGGAGAAAGCGGGGGTGGGGTGAGGAGCGGGGAGACGAGGAGAAGATGGGGAGGAACAGAGAGGGGGACGAGGTGGTGGGTTCCCACGATTGGGCACCGGGAGAGCACGTGGGGTTTCCTCTGGTAGAAGATGGGAAAGGAGAAAGGAGGTGGAGGGCATCCTGCTTGCGCTGCGGGCAGGGGCCGCGGGCTGGCGGGTCTCCGCGGCCTTCCTCCCGAGGAGAGGGAAAGTGGTGGGTCCCGCTGGGGGAGTTGGGGCAGGATTTCAGTGAGGGGCTGGAGGGGGACAAATCGGCCAGAATACCCGGTGGAATGTCCAGAGAGAAGAGGTTGAAGTGAGAGACCGGGGATTTAAGGCTTCAGGGTGCATTCTCGGAAACCATTCATTGGCGGGGAAATTGGAGCTGCAGTCTTCAGCGGCGAGGGGACGGGAGGGGCTGTTTTGTTCTCTTCAATGGAAGAAACCTGCAGTCGTGGAGACCTCACTGCTCCAGAAGCCCAGGCTCAGGCCTCCGCCAGCCACACACACCCTCCCCCCCACCCCCCAAGGACCGGATCCAGACCAGGCTAAGGCCCTTCCCTGTCTTGGCCTCCGCTTGCTCTTCCCACAGTCAGGGGCTTGGAGATTGATTTGATTCCAGTAATTTTTTTTTGCTCCTCCCCTGCAAGTGTTTGAAACGAGCAGACCTCAGGTGAAAATAATAAAAGGAAGGGCTGATGGTGTCACAGGTTTTCAGAGGGATCTGTTGGGAACTAAGTATAGAATAGCAGATTTCTGTATTTTTGCGAAATAAAGTGGTCTTATTTCTAACCCACTTCTTTCACATCTAACTGTGTAATTTATGTGACAGAAAAGAAAAGGAGTGGAGTATGGTCCTGCTGCCGTGAGAGAGGCTGGCTTGATGAAAAGACTGTCCAATTTGGGTAAGTGGCTGAAGTTTAGATTCTGTGATGGCTGGTAGCAGGCCATTCAGTCTCCTCTCCTGTCTAGGGACTGCACAGTGTCTGCTTGTACTTGGGAAGCCTCTCGTCCTCCCTTTGGTTCCATTTGCAGTTTAAGATCTGGGAGTCTTCAGGCAAAGTCTTGTGGGCAATAAAGAGAGTAACTGTGTAGAAGGCAAGGAGGTGGAGTGACGTGGGGTCTGGAGCAAGCAGTGGGAAGAATACTGGCTAGGTTCAGCTCTAACTGCTCAGTCAGCTTTTCCCTCTCAAATTCCAGCTCTCGGAACTCCATCAGGGTGTGCTTCTGATTCATCAGCCTAGCCAGTTTCCTCTCTTCCTATCCTTCATTTCCTCCTCAGGGTGAATAGCTTTTTATTACTATAAGCAGAGTTTTGGATCAGTGTTTCTCGAACTTCCCTGATGATGAAAATCACTTGCATTACTTGTTAAAAATACAGGTTCCTAGGCTTCTCCATGGAATAGTCTGATTTATTGGCTCTGGGTGGGACCCAGACATGTGCAGTTTCACAAGCTCCCAGGTAATCTGCAAGACAGTTGCAGTTGTGTAATGAGGATAGTACTGTAAAGTTACAGAACCTGACCCAAAGATAAATGCCATTTATATGGTAATAGAGAACCCTTCTTTTGGTAAGAGGACACCAAATTCCAGCTGTTATGATAGGAAGGCTCCTTTACCTAACCTGAATGTTTCTAGCTGCTGTTTAAAGCCATTTCCTCCATTTATATGAGGACAATTCCCAGATCTTTTCTGAAGCTGTAAGCGCAGAAGGCGTGGCAGCAGCGAGCTGTGGGTGCTGCAGATAGCAATGGGGAATCTAGGTTAACTATAAATCTCTTCCCCACTCTTGCTTTGAAAACTGAGTCCATTCCAGGAGTGGACCATTTCCTTCTAAAACACAGGACGAGTGAAGTCACCAAAACCACCTTGGGCTGAGGTGTACTTCCTGTACACCTCTGGCTAGATCTAGATGTGGTGTCTTTGGTTCACTACTCAAAACTTTTCTCTGTTAAATAATTACAGATCCTTCTTCAGTAGGATCTCTTAATTCTTTTAATGACTCTCTAGGCTCACCACCAAAGATGAAAGAGAAATGAAGATTCAGTTTTAATGTGTCATCAGTTACCTAACAGGAAGAAGTTTCTATTCCTGCTTATAAATTAGGATCCTGTCCCTTTAAATCAGCTGTACACATTCAGCCTTTTTAGTTTTTTTAAAGATTTTATTTATTTGTTTGAGAAAGAATGAGAGTGAGAGAGAGCATGAGAGGCTGAGAGGGTCAGGGGGAGAAGCAGACTTCCCGCTGAGCAGGCAGCCGGATGTAGGCCTCCATCCCAGGACTCTGGGATCATGACCTGAGCTGAAGGCAGTTGCTTAACCAACTGAGCCACTCAGGGGCCCCTCAGCCTTTTTAAAAGGCAGCATTTTACACTGAAGACCATAATCTCTGGGAATCACTATTTTTTTTTTTTTTTTTTTTAAATACTGGATAAACCCCTGCAGCCCATCTGATGAAATGGGCCTGGCCTGGCTTGAATTGCCTGCTCAGTCCTCAATTCTACCTTTAGAGACAAGAATCAGTTTCAGCCTCTTACACAGAACACATTTATAATATTCAGTTGAGGCTGCCGAATGAGGGGGAGGGGCACATCTATGGCTCATGCTTTGTGGACTTTTCCTGTCCTAGCTCATGGTACTTTTCTGCTTCAACCTGGAATAGCCATTCTCCCTTAAACACTACTCCCTCAAATACCTCCTCTGTCTACTCTCAACCTAAAGTGATGGGGAAGCTGCAGTTTATTTTGGTCTTCTCTTTAAGTTTTTTTTAGCCTTACAATTTATATCCTTGCCCTGTAGCTGACTGGTAGGCCAGTATGACTAGCAGCCCAGAATAGAATCTCATTGCATATTAATAAGAGTGTGGCACTCAGCACATTTGTAGCGTGTGATTTTGGCTAATCTCCAAAAAATAGATTGGTAAAAGTACCAAGAGAAGTTCAGTTGCTCTATTGTGAAGCAGTACTGAGGTACCAGTACTGAGGTACCAGTGCACTTTCAAACAGGCAGCATGGGTCAGATTTCAAGGCGAGAGGACCCACGGAAAGATAACTTTCACAAATCCCCTTTGTTCCTTGCCCTCAGCTCTGATGTCACAGGCTGCTGGTGTTGCCATGGCATTGGTCAAACTTCCTGTTTTCTGGAATGAATGGATTTGACTTAGTGTCTGGGTTTGGTTTTCCCTTTTTTTTACCCTGGGTTTAGTAAGGACACTCGGCTCCTCTCTCAGGTGACCCCTTATCTGAGCATATGCAGAGAGCCTGGGAGAGATGAAGAGACAGTTGGCCTGCCAAGGCTCAGATTCGGTGCCTCTGCTTCTGATTCTCATGAGCCCTGAAAGCCACGGTCATTGATCATTGGCCCCTTTTTTCTTTGGAAGTTGAAGGAGTGTTCTGCTGGGGGGAGGGGGATAGCTGTCAACGGAGATGGACAGTTTGAGGGCTTTATCATTGTAATTAGGTAATTTGACTCAGCTGAGGTACTGAAAAGAGATGCCAGCCACTGAAACAACTTTTTAAATTAACTTAGGCTGGAGTTCTGGAAGCCATGTGGGAGCCCCTCTGGTTCCTCTCGACTAGGCTAGAGACATTTGTCCTTCCTGTTCCATTTGGTGCTCCATTAGACAACAGACCAGGAATCTCTTCGGTTGGGACCAGAATCTGGTCTGCTTCAGGAAGAGCTGATTGAGGGCCTGAGGTAGTTTAACAGGAAGATCTGAGAACTATTCGGTACAGATTGGTGTGTGAGTTCCGGGATATGTATTTGCTTGCAGTGGGGTGTTAATATTCATTAGTTGTGTGATCGTGATACTTGGCCTGGCCTCTACCTTGCTATTCCACTGAAATTACCTTGAGCAAGCCTACTGATCTGTCAGCCTTTATTTTGCTGGGCCTCTCTATTGCACAACTGATCGCTTTATTCTGGAAATACTGTGAGCAAAGACACCCCTCTCTTTTGAGTCTCTTGTCTCCATTGACTAGTCCTTCCTGGACTCCTTTGTGGGATCTTCATCTTCTTCCCAACCCTTAAATGCTGACCCCATTGTTTCTCCAGCTTGGTTCTAAGGACCCTCATCTCACTCTCACAGATGTCTCAAACTGCACTTGTTCAAAACAAAATTCCTTATCTTCTTCCTCAGATCTGTTTCTCCTGCTGTCCTCCCATTGTCTGTTTCATGCTGTCACCCATTATCCAGTCACTCAACTCAACCTAAAAAGACCATCACAATTCTTTGTTCCTTCCGTTTTGTGCTTTACATCTGTTGGTCACAAAGTCTTGTTGATTTTTTTCCCCCCTCCTAAAAGATTAGAGTTCTTCGCCATAATGGTGCTACTGTAGTTCTCTCTCTTCACACTTGACTGTAACTTTCCTTTGGTTTCTTTTGTCCCTTTTCTACCTTACTTGGTTCACATTCTTCGCTGCCACCAGAGTAAGCTTTCTAAGACCATTTATCCTTTGCTAAGTCTTAGTCTTAGGCTTTCTTTTACATGCGTCCATGCTTTTCAGTCTTGTCATTCATATGCCATCTTTTCTAATTTGCCATATTATTCACTTTGTATTTCTTAAAATTGGCTTTAAAGGTTCATAATTTTTAAATGTAGCCTGAACCTATAATAAGCAATGAAATCTCAGGCTTGTACTAGATACATTTTTCTAATCCAGTTTCATTTAATAGTTTTACATTTTGCTATTTGTCCTTCGACCCCTAGGTTGAAGTGTAGAACACACAGCACCGCAATTTGACTTTCATCTATGTCTTTAGACTTCTCTCTACACACATTCTGCCTTATTCTCATTGCAGCTAGAGTTGTGGGCCCTTGACCTAGGCTCCACATATAGAAGCATGCATCCTAAACTTTGACTTGAAATTCAAGAAGGGGTAGCAAAGAATTCATTCTGTGATGGGCAGGGTGGTAACAGTGCCAGCAGTGGCTTCTGTCCAGCGTCATGGGGTCAGCCGTGCCAGCTGCATGCAGTGCCTTTCCTGAGTAATGGAGCTCTAGATCTTTACTGGACAGTCCTGCAGTGGGACTTCGGGAGCCATAATTGCTGGTACTGTGGCCTTTAACCCAGATATCAGCCCTCTTAGAGATTCCGGGAGTTACCCAAATTGAATAAATTGCTTTTCTGCTGTAATTAGCTCAAACAGGTTTCTGTTGCTTGCAGTTTAGAGATCCCGATTGACACACAGTTTACAAATTCTAGTGAGAAAAATTGCCATGTGGACTGGGATACTCTAAGTCCTCTCTCTAGTCTCTTGATAATAAATTCTTGTTCTTTTGTTTGCCTTTTCCCCTAGTACTTGACACAGTCTTCTTATAAGTTAATATAACTCATTAGGTTACAGTTTCTTTGGCCTTTAGTTAATTTAGGACTAGATCTTAGTCTCTCTGGGTTTTAGCAGCTCCCTGTTCCTTGGTGCTTTGATTTTTGAACCATCACGTTCCTTAATGTGACTCCTGAAAACCGCCTCAAGTTTTAACTAAAGACATTTTTAAGTTCTGGGCATGCCTGACTAGTAAACAGACCAACTTTAGTATATTACCATGACTTAAATCATTTTCAGTGTTCTCGATCTTAAGCCTATATCTTAATAGAGTTATAAGACTGTAGACATCTGTTAAAATGATTGAACTTAAATGTAAGTAATATAAAGTATGTATCAAATCATTTAAAATATCATTTTCAGGTTTACTTTTCTAGGAGCAGCTTTTAGTCACTAAAAACTATAACAAGTTCTTTCGCTAATTTCTATATTCTAAAAATTTGAGCGCTGCTAAGGTTTAGGTACTGGGAATATAATAGTGGACAAAAGAAAGTCTTGTTATCTTGGAGCACCCATTCTAATGAAGGGGGGTTGGAAACAGACTTAAGTAAAACATACAGTATGTCAGATGATGAAAAA